GCTCTGCAATATAATGAAGGGCTTAAGTGTTTGTGTTTCTTCATGGATGACATGTTGGAGCATATCTTTAATACCTCATGGGATAGGGATGGGGGATCACATACAAAAATTACTCCCTATGATCTTAATGACAAAGCCCAATAATTCTTAAAAATGGAGTAAAGGTATTATATAGTCAGTATTGTTATTCCATAGATGTCCAAAAAACTTAGACTAAAACACAATTACCCCCAGGAAAACTTCAAATTGCATGATCCAATAATCCTTTTTGTTTCACAACTATTTTAAGAATGTATGTACTTTTTATCATAAACCTAGAGAAGCCTTTTCCACATTTTCAGAATATATAGTTAATTCTCGTTACATAAAAGAATAGAATTTAAAGAAGCTGGGGTAAAAACTTAAGAGTCTTTGCAGAGGAAAGAAAATGATCATATTTTTAAAATATGTTTACCAATGACTGCGGAGATTATAGTTTTGCTTTATAATGTTGAGAAATATAAAGGCAATCAGGTTTTTGCTTGAAAATACAAGTAAATGGCTACATTTCACATAAAAGTATAAGTGACCTAGAAGACAGAAAGATTAGAAAACAAGATTTTATTTAAAGGAATGTGTTATCTAAGTGACTGTGTCCTTTTGCAAATAGTTTTAGTAAGAAAACCCCAAAGGAAAAAATGTACAGACCATGTTAGTAGAAGTGACAACACCCAAACATCTTTGCTATAATAATGGATAGGAAAAAAGACGGGTATAAGACATTTCAAAAAAAACTAAAATAATTTACTATTTGTAATAGTGAACATGCAAATATTTCCCTTGCTTATCAAATAGTCCTTTAGTTATTCAAAGCACTTTTAGATATTTGATCCCTCAGTTCTTTTTGCAAGTACTTCCTGTTTTCTTTTACAGTGCTATTCTACATTTAAATATGCATTTAAGAAACCGTAGATTAAAAAGCATATTGAGTTTTAGAGTAAAATCTGAATAATCACACAGACATGGACCAACATTTATTACGAACAGGAAAAGGGCAGATGAAAAGAGTACAGATGCTTTTTAAAAAAAGGCTGCAATCTGCAGTACTGAAATTACCATAATCTATATGATAATGTAATAATTTCATCTACATTTAAAAATCACATTGCTTAATATATACAAAACATTATAATACAGTAATTTAAACTGCTATGTAATGGCATTAAAACAGTATCAACATTGGAGAGGTTTATTCGAATTTAGGTCATTCATGTTCCATCCTGAGTTCACTTCCATTTTCCAAGAAGAACGGTTATTTTTAAGTCTTTTTTTCCACGAAGAAAGGTTATTTTGAAAAACTGAAATGTATACTTCACAACCCATTATTTATAAGGAAAGAAAAACCAAGTATAGAAAAAAGAATTCATGTTTTAAAATTTTTTAAATAAAAAGCAATCATCTATATAATTTTATTAAATAATTACAGCTTTCACAAACAGCATGATACATTGTTGCTATTACCAGCAGCATTACTTTCTTCATTTCTCCTTCAGCTACCAATAAAAAACATCCTTCAGTAGGAAAATCTCTTATGAATGTGGCCCAGCTCAAAACAAATTACTTCTAACAATAAGATATTGTAGCTCACATGTTGTCACACTGACTACCTAATTACATGAAAAGCTACAGAAACCAGGTTGGGGGGGGGGGCGCTGTAGATGACAATTTAAAAGAATATGGCAAAACTGTAAAGATTTTCTAAATTTTGTGATACGTAGTGACCCTTTGATCACTGTTAAAAAAAAAAAAAGGAATTCTTTAAAGTGCACTGAGGCTCTGATTGGGGTATTCCACTTAACCCTAAGTGTTTAAAAACTCACATTTCTTAAACTCAAAAATATACTAAATTGCACTTAAGACATCTACATAGAATTAAGTAGCTGGAGATGTATTAAATGTTTACTTAAAACTAAGCAGCAGCAAAAGTAGTTTCCTATCACAGAGATCGTATTTAGACTATATTTGATAACTATATCACTTTAAGGATAGTCACACAATTGCTTGTTATTGTTATTGTTTACAATATTGTTAAATCATGCGAAGTAGCCGTTTAGAAACCCAAGAGTAAAGCAATACATTTCAGGGACTTGAGGTAAAATGTGATCTCCTATATGTTATATGATACTACTCTGGCCTAATTTTTGAAATTATATAATTATATTATAAATACATAGAGGTTGGTCCTAAATGCCTGTTCACTAGAACAAGAGAACTTTACCTCCAACAATTTCCAAACTGTAGCCAAAAAAACCCACAGGTAATGAATTAAATATGACATTTTAAAATCCAAATTTTCCATAGGAAAGTAGGTATCACTAAACACTAAGATGAGAAAAGCTGACGTACCGGCTGATATACTAGTATCATTAACTTCTTTCCTAAATAATTGCTTATAATATGTTCTCATTTTCAAGTGATGTTTCAAATTCAAAAGAAAAAAATTTTAAACTACTTTTTTCCTTTTCTACTTTTAAATAGGATTTGAAAAAAATTTCTCTGGGAAAGCAAGTTTTTTTTTGTTTTTAAAGATGTATGTATTTTCTATTAGAAAAAATAATGTATTTAAAGTCATACAAGTTGGTTTTAGATGAATATAAATAAATGAAACATTACAATTTTCACGCCATGAAGCACTGAGTTACAACAAATGTATTAAAAAAACTTTATTTCCTTAAGAGTGAATACAGGATGTTAAGTAAACACTGTTTGTATTACTTTCAATGTAAAGACATTCTTATTTTCACCTCAGATTTTTTGAAATTATTATGAATAGGTTACGAATCTTCTCCCGAAATATTAAAGGTCACATTGAGTGATATGACCAAAGGAAACTTTAGCCTCTCAGAGGCTAAACAAAAATATAAAATGTGAAAATAAAAATAAAGAGCAAATCAGGAAAGAGAAAAACGCAGCTCAGGATATGTGTTTCTGAAATCAGCATTCAATATAACATCATAATTCCTAAACCAGAAATATAAATTTTTAAAAATACACATATAGGTTCTTTATCATTTTTCTCAATAGATGTTTTATACATACATATATATTTGTGTGTGTGAGTATGAAATAACTGCAAACATTACCAACTAAATAAATCAGACAGCTACTAGCAGTTCTGAAGTATTATGTGAAATAAGCCTGTTATTTAGCCAACTTTCAGCCCCTTGGATTAACATCTGGTCTTTTCCTGGGATTCTTTTTTAGAATGTAGTTTGTATTTGAGAGCTAGGAAATGGAAGAAACAAATCCATTGTGTTCATAATTACAGAATGGAGTATCTCACTGCCAATTTAACTTTTTAAATTTTAACTTATAACTTATACTATAATAAAAATGCATGGATAATGCCTGAATATTTGAAAAAAAAATTTTTTCAAAAACTCAGAAAGTACTACTTCATTATAAAAAAGTGATTATTTACAAATTATGATCATTTCTGATGAGTCTGAATATAAGCTAATGTGTTTGTAAAATCAGACTAGAATGCAGACCAGGTGCAGGTGATCCAGTTTCCTTGCTTTAACGAGTAATATGAAGCAGCACTGGCTTTGGCATACTTCAGACAGGCCTCACTTGTTGAGTTTCGTGCCACTCTACTCTGGTGATTTAAATATATTAAGGAAACAAATGGTTCCAGAGAATAGGCAATGAAACCTTAAGGATATGGTCATGGACCAAAGTATCAGACTCCATGTAAGGTACATTCTCTCTCACATACACCAACACACAAACATACTTACCACATACACAACCAAATGCACAAAAATAAAACACACACAATGTTCCTGCTATTGTCCAGTTATTTCCCTCTCCACAAAGTAATACAATCTAAACTACTGCACAAATTACGAGTATACTGTAGCCTCTATTTAATCTGCTGTGGTTCGGTCCATTCTGAGGACATATCACAGGTGACACTGAAGTCTGTTCAGAACTGCTGATGACTAAAGCCAAACAGACTCACATATTATCAAATTTAAGATATAATGAAAATGTTATGTTGAGGCTGCAGTGTACTTAATTATGTTGAGAATTTACATTACAAAATTAATATTAAAAATAAGAATAGTGCATAAGCATTATAAATTATGAATAGAAATGGGTATTGTTTTCCGCTTAATGTGGCTATCAATTACTTCCATCTCCCCCCTTTCATCCCATTAATTTATAAGCTGAAAATGATTACTTGGTACCAACTGTTATTGATACATTAATACTTTATTATCATTTTGACTACTAATTACAGTCTCCAAAAATTAATATTTTCCTTCTAATCATAATCAAGAATGGGGTCCTTACTCTTTAGAATCAACATGCCTAACTTCAAATTTCAAGACAAATAAAAAAAAAAAATCCAAAGTATCATTGGATAAATTATGATTAAATAGGTTTGAGTCACATTAGCTTAGTCCTGCATAATGTAAACTTTATCTTACAGAAAAAAAGTTTCCTTAAATTATTGAAGTGCTTACACTGACAAACCATGCATTTTCACAAAATTAAAATCTGAAATAACTCTTTTCTTAAAAATGTTTCATTTTATCAGACACTCAAAATACCCTATGAAACTAAAATAACATTTCTGTATTTTCATATAATCCCATTCATATTAGTTTGTAAGTAGGAATAAAAAGAAAAATGAGTTCTAAATAAATGACACAGGAGGCAATAAATTGACACATGACAAGTAAATAAAAGGCTAAAGCACTCCAATACCATTAAAACTGTTTTAATGTTGTTGCAACTCCAAAATGCAACAATCATCAGGTTTGTAAAAGACCCAAATTTCAAAAATTCACTTTAATTACTCCTTCATACCTATTTTACAAAATAAAGGCAAGAGACATTTAAATCCTCCTTGTCCTAATTGTGCTATGTTCCTAACTTGTTTTCTATCACTATAGTGTATGTTGCAATTCTCATCAGATGCTATATAAGAAAAAATAAAATAAAATATTAACCTCTGCTTCAATGTACAGTTTCCAGAATCTGCCAGAACTGGGGAACTGGGCAACAAGGCGTTCATAAGTCTTCCGTGCTTTGTCTATAGGTTGATTCTAAAATTGAAAACCAATAAACAGCATTTACAATGTTAGGATTATAAAAATATTATTTACTGCAGAACCAAGTAGTGTGATTGGACCCATAGAGAAGGAAATGTAATCCTATATCACTAAACCTGTGCCTCTCGAATGAGAATGCTCCAAGCATCAAGGTCATATGGATTCTCTTCTAATTTCTTTTCAGCTTTCTTCACCTTCTCTGGGACATATTCAGCTGCCTGGGGAAAAAATAACAACAAACTAAAGTTACTATTGAAAAAATCTCATGTCTAACTTAATTCAAGAACAGTATATCAGTCCCTGGATTTGATGTCAGATTACAAAGCACACACACACACACATATGTATATATATATATACACACACACACCATATATGTGTGTGTGTGTGTGTGTGTGTGTATATATACACACACACACACACACACACACACATATGTATATATATATACACACACATATATATATATATTTTTTAATGGAAGTCACTTGCATAAAAAGAATAAAATTAAAGTGATCGCATATTTTTAATTCAAATAAACCCATTTTAATATTAAATACACTACAGCAGCAATTCTCAAACTTTATGGTCTCAGGACCCCTTTAGACTCTTAAAATAAACTTTTTACATGTTAACATAATGTTGTTGTTGTTGTTTTTTTAACAAAAAATAACTTTAAAAATTCAGTGAGAAGAATGTCTTTGTTTTACATATTTGCAAACGTTTTAATATCTGACAAAAAAGACAGCTGGATTTTCCTATCAGTTTCTGCATTCAGTCTGCTGCCATATCATGTCACACAGATGCTGAAAAATTTGACTGTACACTCTTGAAAGACTGAATGAAAACGGCAAATAATGTCTTAGATTTATCATGAAATAGCTGGACTCACAGATCCTTTGAAAATCTTAGGAACCCCTGGAGTCCCTAAACCAACATTGAGAAACACTGCTATCACAGTAAGCCACAAAGAAAAAGCATGAAATGACACACAACTTTTATTTTTGTGTAAAACAATTTAAAAGCACGATTCAGAGTATATACAGCATAATAAAAACTATAACAGAAATCTGCAATGAAAATATTTTTAAAAACGTACTAAAATGCTTAGAGTGGTCATGTTTGGGTGGTGGGCAGCAGAAGTATGGGTGATTTTTTCCCCTTTTCAATATTTCCCAAACCCTTTAACAAGGTAAATACATTTTTATTATAGACATTTAATCTTTAAAAAAAATCAATACCTAAAATAGTAGCTAGCATATTAGGCATACATAAAAGTAATACATCTCAAATTGTTGTTTGGAATATTACTGTATACCACAGAAAGAAAGTGATGCTCAAATAATTCAGATAAATGTTAATTTATACAAAGTTTTATTTTGCCTTTTTCCAGAACTTCTTGAAATTTACAGTATGGCAATACACACTGATGATATTCAAGGACAGAGAGGAAGCATTGCCCCTATCACCCTTCTTTTCTTCTTAAGTGGAATTAATATCTCCTGGAACAATTCCATCTAAACACCAGTTTGGAAAAGTTTTACAAAGTCATCTATGTAAAAAATCACCTACAAGAAATAAACTCTACTTTGGAATAAATTGTCTTGCAGCACTAATTTATTTATGGAAAAAAACCACATTTTAAAATACTACTCAAATTTGAGTCAAAATTATGATGTTTTTCTTACGTGTAAGTACTTTTTAAGTAACTTGCTCAAGGAACTAAAACTAGAAAAGTTTATAAAGGAGGACTACTGGCCCCACCCATGTATCAAAACATAAAACTACAACTTGGTAACATTGACAAACCAATCAATGGACCACAACGGTTTAGAAAGAATAATATAATGAAAAGCAGCAAATAATAAAGGAAAGAACAATATATCAAAAATCAGCAAATAATAGGGCCGGCCTGTGGCTCACTCGGGAGAGTGTGGTGCTGATAACACCAAGGCCACGGGTTCGGATCCCTTATAGGGATGGCCGGTTTGCTCAATGGGTAAGCGAGGTGCTGACAACACCAAGTCAAGGGTTAAGATCCCCTTACTGGTCATCTTTAAAAAAAAAAAAAAACCCAGCAAATAATAAAGGTGACATTTCACATCATAAAGGTGGATTATTCAATAAATGGTGTTAGAATAACTATACAGTTATCTGTTAGAGTAACTGTAAAGTCAGTTTTACCAAATTAAGTTGAATTCCTATTTCATCCTTTCTACCAAAATAAATTTAAGATAGATCAAAAATTTAAAGATTAAAAACAAAAACACAAGAACTAGAGGAAAATATGGTGAAATGTATCTTTGCATGGGAAAAGCTCTTCTCAGAAGCC